AATCGTAATAAGACAGAATCAGAATATATTAGAACAAGTGGAAAAATAGGATAACATTCAAAAAAGACTTAAAAATAAAACTAGATGGAAATGGGTTAGAATAAAAAGGTGTTTAATAATTAAAGTTTAGTTTGTTTAGTTGTAATATCAGTGACTTTTTTCTTTTAAGTAATTAATCAAGTATTTCAGCCTTTAAAGGACAAATTGTAAATCCTAACAATGATCTACAATGAAATAATTGTAATGTGCCAACTTGTACAATTCATATTTTTACACTGGCAGTGTAAGAGTCTGAATTGTTTGCAAAAGAGATGTTTTGCTCTTCAGGTATGGAATTGACATGTGGCTTTTTAATTTTGTTTTTGATTTATTGTGAAAAATTATTGCCTGCTTACACTTTTGAGATTTTTAAATTTGTCGGCCTCTATTCACTTATTGGTGGAAGAAGATTCGCATTCCTGTTGGGGCTTCTCTGCCTTAGACAGGTAAGCGTAGCTGTTTGTAGAGAAAGGCTGGCCTCATAACTCTTCACCAATTTATCCAGGGACTAAATAATGACTTTTGTCACATAGCTTCCATATGCTATTTTAATGTGTATTATTCCAGATTTGTTTTTCACAGGTGATATTTACAGATAAGGGTAAAATGACATTGAATGTTAAAGAAGAAAGTATTGCTAAAGAACTATTCAAATACATAGGGCATTTGTCTTTATAGTTTATGGGTTGATTTTATACTACCTATAATTCATTTGCAAATTTATTATGATCCTTATGTGGATATGCCTCTGGAAGCCAGATATGGAGTAGGCATAGAGTATAATATGTTCATCAAGGGATTCTGAAGTCTAATTGCTGAGTTTCATTCTGGCATCACTCTTAGCTATATGATCTTGAAAAATTATTTAAGCTTTTGCCTTATTTTTCTCCTGTAACAGGGGAAGTAATAATACTACATTTCTCATAGGGTTGTTGTAAATTATAGATAGTCAATTTAAAGCATGAAGCTCAGTGCCCAGCAGGTGGTAAAGGTGTAAGAAGTGTTTATAAATAATGCTTAGATTGTCCTAGCTGCAAGTGAATCTCTGTAAAAATTCTGACAAACAATACACCTCCAAAATTAACTTTGGAAGTGGCCTACAAGTGGCATACATCTTAGGTGGAGTAAATACAATAAACAAAGCAAAGCAATAAAACCTACTTCACAGGCGTTCAGTCATTATTTCTTGTATTTAAGCAAATTGGGTATTAGGAACTCATAGATTCATAGACTCTCTAGGTTAGATGTGGAAATTTAAGTAAGCATCACCCTTCCCAGCTGTCTCATTCAGTGTTTTCATCTCCTCTACCATATTTCCATGAAGCAGACATTTATCGTAATACTTGAACCTCTCCAGTGATGGCAACCCTATCCATGAGGAGCCAGCTTTGGTTATTGGAAAGATCATTTAGGTTTGGCTGAAAATCTGCTTCTTTTGCCTTCACCCATCCTTCCTACTTTGACTTCTATGTCTCTTCATATGTCAGTGGCTCATATATTTGAATATATTTTCTACATTCTCCATACCCTTCATTTTGCAGACACAAATTCCCAGTTACTTCAACGTTTCTCAAACGACATGATTTCAAATTCTCTCATATTATGCATTATAAACTTTGGAACCAAACTTATTTCATTTAGAAACTGTATTTAGCCACAAGTAACAGGCTTAAACCAGAAAAGGGTATATTTCCTCTCATATAAAACAAATTCTGCACTAGACAGCCCAGAGGCAACATGATGACTCAGCAAATTCCTCAGGGTTCCAGGACCTTCTGCCATCCTGCAAGTGTGATTCTCATTCTCAGATTTTGGAGGTGACCATTTGGTTAGCTGTTGAATCCTCATTCTTGAGGGAGGAAAAATTAGAAGGGCCTAATGCAATCAGGGTGCATACTTCCTGAATTGGCTTCCCCCTTTAGGGACTTCTTTTGGACACATTAACAGCAACTTCTACTTCTTGGGCAAAACCAAGCCACATGATTAACTCCAATGTAAGGGAGGAAAGGAAATGTAGTTTTCAAGCAAGGTTTCATTCCATCCTGAATGAAAGCAGGATCCTTTCAATAAGAAAAAAGGGTAGACTAGATGTAAGGTAGGCAGCTGGCAGTCTGCATCAGGATGTTCTCTTAAAAGTCTCCTTCTGAAGTCTGGTTTTCCTGTTTCAGCAACAGTCTAGATACTAGATGACCCTGAAGGGTAGAATGGGACTACATCTGGGTGGAAACCTGACTTCTAGAAAATGGTACCAATTAATTGAAATACCAAAGAAAAAGTAGAGAGCAGTTCTAACTTGGGCAGAACTTTGTTTATTCAACTAATTTGAGCTCAGAGTCAATAATCTTAATATTTACCAAGGCTTCCTACCCATTGAGAACTGAAAGTCTGCTCTTTCCTGGATTTTTTTCTGCTTTATACTATAACCAACATACACATGTGGTAGATCCAAAAACCATCTTCTAAGGGTATGATTTACTAAAATACCTATGAGTAAGTGGTAGAGTGGTAAGGTCATTTTAGGAAGGTAGAAGTCAGTGAATGAAGTCCTTTGTGATATATGTATTAATGCCAAGATGTTCTAAGAAATTATTCTAGAGTACAGAGTCTTTCTGGGATTGGTAGCACCTAGAAAATTTATCTAACCACCTTGCCGTCAACCTTGCTTTCTGTCCAAAGGATCTCAGATTTTACTGGAAGAGGGGAAACAAAAGCATAGTGGTACTCATTGGGAAAAACTATAAGTAAAACCAAAGAATATGCATGCTTACTCTACAAGGAGTCCTGGGAACTCGCAGCTGGTCTCTGAAAATGAAAGGGGATGAAATAAGAAGATTGATTGGAATATAACAGACTTCAACAAATATATCCTTTCTGGCTACAGAGAAGCTCATACTTAGCTAGCTCAACTATGGTGCTACTATAGCCGACTATAGCCAGATGGTGGTGGTAGTAACAAGGGCCTTGCCTGTGTTTCGTGAGTATAGGTTACACTTTACAGTACAGGTTATACAGTTACAGTACAGTAACTGAATTTTTTCCCAAAACTTGGAGAAAAGCATCCATTGGTTGAATCTGGGCTCTCTAGGCATAAAGTGATCTCAGCACCAGGAATGCAGACAATATTAAGGCCAAGTTAAAGATTATATTCCTTCTTCTGTTTTCTTCTTCATTTTCAGGTTAGAGTTAAAATCCTACAACCTATTATCTATGTAGTTTCCAAACACCCATCTTTCTGAAATAGGAATCAAATGTAAAACTACAATCCAGGAATAGGTGGATGAGTGCAAGTTGTGTCTGGTCTTCCCATATTCTAACTTGACTCTAACAGAATTTTTAACTCACAGTCACTGAAGTTTTTTTTTTTTTCTCAGTTTTAGTATCAAACCCAAGGAAGAAGTGACAAAATAGAATTAAAAATATGATTAAAAAATTTTTTTGATGTTTATCTATGTTTGAGAAAGAGAGAGAGCAAGACAGAGTATGAGTGGGGGAGGGGCAGAGATTGAGGAAGACACAGAATCTGAAGCAGGCTTGGGGCTCCGAGCTGTCAGCACAGAGCCCAGCGCAGGATTGGAGTTCAAGGACCGCAAGATCTTGTTCTGAGTCCAAGTCAGACGCTTAACTGACTGAGCCACCCAGGTGCCCCAAGAATATGATTACTAATTTCATAAAGGCAATAGTAACTTTAGGGAAGAAAGCCCAAGGATGCCTTTTGTTTTTGCCTTATAATCATTAGGCTGTATTCTTTATGAATTCCAGTTACTATCATTCGTTCATACATTCATTTATTCATCTACTTAATAAATATTACTCATTTACTTAGTACCTTAACTATATGCTTGGAATTGTGCTAAATTCTGAGAATATAAAAATTTATAAGAAACTGTTTCTGCTATCACTTATGAGAACTTACCTTTGTATTGTACACTTCTTCAAGTGAACAAGTATTGCAACAAATGTTTTTTTTAAGTATAATTGGTATACAATGTTATATTTGTTTCAGGTATACAGCATATTGGTTCATCAATTCTATACATAGTGCTCACCTCGATATAGCTACTGTTGCCAAACAACATTATTACAATATTATTGGCTATATTCCCTATGCTGTACTTCTCATTTCTGATTTATTTATTTTATGACTGGAAATTTGTACCTCTTAATCCTCTTTATCTATTTCATCTGTTTCCTCACCCTCTGTCTTCAGAACACCATCAATTTGTTCTCTGTATTTAAGAGTCTGCTTTTTTCACTTGTTTTGTTGTTCAGATTCCAGATGTAAGTGAAATCATATAGTGTTTGTCTTTCTCTGACTGACTTATTTCTCTTAGCATAATACTGTCTATGTCCATACATGTTGTCACAAATAGTAAGGTCTCATGAGTAGACATTTTTCCAAAGACATACAGATAGCCAATAGACACATGAAGAAATCCTCAACATCACTAATCATCAGGGAAATGCAAATCAAAATCACTGTAAGATATCACTTTATACTTGTCACAATGCTAGAATTAAAAAAAAAAAAAAAGAAAGAAAGAACAAGTGTTAGTGAGGATGTGGAGCAAAAGGAACCCTGGTGCACTGTGGGTGGGAATGCAAACTGGTGCAGTCACTGTGGAAACAGTATGGAGGTTCCTCAAAAAATTAAAAATAGATATACCATATGATTCAGTAATTCCACTACTGGGTATTTACCCAAAGAAAACAAAACATTAATTGGAAAAGATACATGCACCCCTATGTTGTAGCATTATTTATAGTAGTCAAGATATGGAGGCAACCCAACTGTCCATATATAGATGAGTGGGTAATAGCAGAGAGAGCTAAGTGTTAATTCTTGGTAAGTTTCACATTTTAATGAGTTATTTATGTATTAAGTTTTGTAAGAGAGTTTTCTATATAGTGCTAAAAACACAGAAAAAGTGAACATGGTTAGTAAACATTTTTTCTCTTTACAGGAGATAGAGTGTCTACACTAGTGACTCTCAAGCCTGGCACATACTAGGACCACCTTGGAAGCTGGAAAAATATACTGCTGCCTGGTCTCCAGGTTGCCCAGACATTGGCATTGTTCTAAAATATCCCTAGGTGATTCTAATGTGCAACCAGGGCTAAGAATGGCTAGAAACTCCCACTTCTGTTGGAAAGCAAAATAATCAGGTTATGCTAATTGACACTAAAGAATAAAGGGCTCATATTGTCATTTGAATTTACAAAATCAGTATCTAACAGAGATTCTCATAAGTGTGGCAAAGTATGATGAGGACATTCAGGTGAGGACAGAAAATATTTCAAGCAGAAGAGTCTTCTGTATTCCTTAAATTTCACCACTTGGATGACTATCCCACCTAGCTTAAACAACTGCTTTGCATTTGTGACCCTGGCTTTTAATTCAGGTTTCTAAAGTCAAATGTGTTAAACACTTAACTGATGCTTATATTTGAGTAGATTTTTCCTAAAATGAAATTTATAGGAATGTAAATATGTTTGATTGCCCAGAGCCTCGATTGTCCATCTATCTTTGTCCCTTTGTATTAAAGCTGTGCCTATTCAGGAAAATAAAATGGACGCCCTCCGACTTCAGCTCAGGTCATGATCTCGTGGTCCGTGAGTTTGAGCCCCGCATCAGGCTCTGTGCTGACCGCTCAGAGCCTGGAGCTTGTTTCAGATTCTGTGTCTCCCTCTCTCTCTGACCCTCCCCCGTTCATGCTCTGTTCTCTCTCAAAAACAAATAAACGTTAAAAAAAAAAAAATTAAATGGATGCCCTAAAACAATCAGTGGGGAACCCTCATTGGCCTTTTTAGGAATTTTTGGCTAATATGGAAGGGGTTCAGTATCAAATTTTCTAAATACTTATCAGATTTTCTCTTTCTTTCTTTCTTTCTTTCTTTCTTTCTTTCTTTCTTTCTTTTGAGAGGAACGTGTACATGTGTACAAGTGAGAGAGGGACAGAGAGAGAGAGAGAGAATCTTAAGCAGGCTTCATACCCAGCATGGAGCCTGATGCCAGGCTTGATCTCATGACCCTGGTATCAGGACCTGGGCTGAAATCAAGAGTCAGATTTTCTAATTACCTAGAATGCATTTTCCTATATATTACACTTCTCTGTGTATTAACTTCAACACTTATACATTCATGATTAGAATGCCTGTACTCTCCTTTTATGGGTAGGTGGTAATGCCTATTACATTTCTCAAATTCTTCAGGATAAGATGTGTGGGCATTAGAATTAAAGAGCAGAATTCACATTCTTGTTTAGCTTCCTTATGAGCCATGTGATCTTAGGTAAATCATTAACCTCTTTAAGCTTCAATTTTCTTATCTGTAAAACAGAAATGATAATAGTTCCTTTGTTATAGTTTGGAAGATATAATGTAAGTAAAGCCCATGCCATTGTGCCCAGTACATAAGTGCTAATTATTATTATCATTATTGCTTTTGTTGCTATTAAATTCTTTGGAGGAAAAAAAAAGTTGCAGGCAAATGAATAATTGCTGTGGACATTAAGGAGTTTTCAACGGAAAAAGTTGCATTTCTCTCTTTTGCAAGTATTTGAAATGTACTAACTTGATTATCTGAAATCTAAAATCAAAAGCTATAGCAGTATATTTTATCTCAAAGGAATACTATAAAATTTCATGTTTTGTTATATGCATTATCGATGTTGTTTTACCTGCCTCTTACACTATATGCGAGAGGCTAGGAAACATGCGCACACTAGAAAGGAGAGAAATGCCTTTTCTGGCAAGTCACAGCAATTCCTCGAGGTCGGATGGGATGGGGTGGGATCAAATCAGTAATGTGTTGCTATAAACTCGATTTTTTTTTTTTTTTTTTTTTTTTTTTTTACCATGGCCTCCAATCCTTATCTGAATGTTAATAGTTTTATCTCTGAACTAATTCAGGGTGAGAGACCAAACCTTGGGAAGAGCATGTAGAGATAGAAATGACCTTCCAGGGGCGCCTGGGTGGCACAGTCGGTTAAGCGTCCGACTTCAGCCAGGTCACGATCTCGCGGTCCGGGAGTTCGAGCCCCGCGTCGGGCTCCGGGCTGAGGGCTCAGAGCCTGGAGCCTGTTTCCGATTCTGTGTCTCCCTCTCTCTCTGCCCCTCCCCCGTTCATGCTCTGTCTCTCTCTGTCCCAAAAATAAATAAAAACGTTGAAAAAAAATTAAAAAAAAAAAAAAGAAAAAGAAAAAGAAATGACCTTCCAATCACTTTACAAAAATGTCCATGTGCTGACCCTGTCCATCTCCTTTCTCCAAAGCACAAAACTACTGCAGGATCTTCCTTAACTTGCGATGGGGTTACATCCCAATAATCCCATTATAAGTTGAAAATATCATAAGTCAGAAATGTATTTAATGCACCTAAACTACTGACCATCATAGCTTAGCCTTGCCTACCTTAAAAGTGCTCAGAGCACTCATATTGGCCTACAGGTGGGTAAAATCATCCAACAGAAAGCCTATTTTATAATAAAGTATTGCATATCTCATGTAATATCTTGACTATTTACTGAATGTGAAAAACGGAATGACTGAACGGGTACAGAGTGGTTGTGAGCGTCTGGGTTGTTCACCCCGCGATCGCACGGCTGCCCGAGCTGCGGCTCTCTGCCACCACCCAGCTCCGTATCGTACAGCATATCAATAGCCTGGGAAAAGATGAAAATTCAAAATTCAAAATGTGGTTTCTACTGAAGGTGTGTTGCTTTCACACCATCAAAAAGTCAAAAAGTTGTGAGTCCAGCTGTTGAAAGTTGGTGACCGTCTGTATATATTTTCTCCTCTCTTAGTATGCTCTGATGTTATCTAGGTGGCTTTGTGTTATCACTCATTTCAGAAACGAAATACAAGTGGAAGCAATAAAGGGCTTAATCTGAATATATTTTTTTTTAATTTTTTTTTCAACGTTTTTATTTATTTATTTTTGGGACAGAGAGAGACAGAGCATGAACGGGGGAGGGGCAGAGAGAGAGGGAGACACAGAATCGGAAACAGGCTCCAGGCTCTGAGCCGTCAGCCCAGAGCCCGACGCGGGGCTCGAACTCATGGACCGCGAGATCGTGACCTGGCTGAAGTCGGATGCTTAACCGACTGCGCCACCCAGGCGCCCCTAAATATTAATACAGTTTATAAGGAGTAGGAATGGAAACTAAATTCTTTTTGTTTTCTTCTTTGGCCTCATGTTTTCTTCCCTCTGGATGGCTTTTCTTCTTTCTCCTCACTGATCCTAGTAACTTAATACAAATGTGTCATCTTTACTGTATTCTCCTCTTATTTAATCCCTACTACCATGTTGACACATTAAATAGCAGTTTTTGAATTCAAGAATCGTTGCCTCCATAGCTGTTAAGAGTGAAAGCTGGCCATGTACTATGTATGTACATATATAATTTTATAAAATTTACTTTGAATATTACTACTGGGACAGGGATTACAACCTTGTCCAGAGTTACTCTGTTAGTTCCAAAAGTAGGCATTGAATGATGAGAAGACTGTCTAATTTCAGGAATATTTTATTTTATTTTGGGAGCTAGTGAGAATTGATGGTTGTTCTTTTAGTTGTTTTTTTTTTTTTTTTTAATGTTTATTTTTGAAAGAGAGAGAGGGGGAGACTGAGTGTGAATGGGGGAGGGGCAGAGAGAGAGAGAGGGGGACACAGAATCCAAAGCGGGCTTCAAGCTCTCAGTCAGCACAGAGCCAGATGAGGACTCAAACCTGTGAACCACAAGATCATGACCTGAGCTGTTTGGACACTTAGCTGACAGAGCCACACAGGCGCCCAGGTGTTTTGTTTGTTTGTTTTTTTTACTTCTATCTTTATGAATTCTCCATTAAAACACTAATTTTGTTTTTGATCTCTAACAGACCAGGAAATTTATGTTCCTGTAACTACTAGAGTTCATTCTCACCTTTTTTTCTCCTATGGGAGGCATGTTTGCTCATTGCTAAGCCTTTTTCAGTTATTCATGATCCTAACTAGAATTTTTAGATGAGTTAAAATGCATTTCCTTGTAGCTTATGTGGCAGGCATCAAACGATTAAAAAACAAAATTCATTTTCCTACCAGGGGCTTAATGCGTCAGAATCTGGGGCAGAGTAAGGGTTGGAGAGAGGAAGGAAGGAACTGAAAAAAAGTAAAAGGTAAAAAGCAGGCATGGATCAGGGAAAATTCCAGCCAGAGCTGATGGACTGAGCTTTATCAGTGCTGCTTTATGATATGTGTCAAAATAAATGTAGGAAACAGTTTTTGCTTCAAAGTTTGGAATGTCGTGGTGATATTTAAATGAAGGAATGTTACAATTGGAAGAGCTGACCTAAAACTTTCCAAAACCATCACTTTTATTTATTAAACTTACGGAAGAGAAGAAAAGTGACAAGAAGAATCATAGATCATTTATTTATTGGGCAAAGTACTCAGAGTTCTTTTCCTTGGTAAAGCAGCAATTAAGATGGGTTTTATTATGCTCAGCATGTGTGTTTGCCTGGTTTAAATTGTTTACATATTTACTGGCAAGGCGCTAATGAAAATAAATCAGTTCGAAGGACTTTTATCTCCCTGTCTGTGGAACACTGTGAAAGTTGCATTTTTAATGGATGATGACCACAGTTGTTTTTAGGATTCCTGAATGAAGTCATGAAGTCTTAAAAATTTTGGAACCCAAAGTTTTGACTCATGTTACAATTTGAGCAACTGCTTTGCTTTATAGAAAAGAGTTCGGTCTAATTTTGACCAAGGCTGTGGATTATTTCTTACAAGTCGGAGGCTCATTTCCTGGGGATAATATTTTAAAGCCTCATAAATATTTAAATATAATATTTATGTTTAAATAAATATTTAAATTATCCTGGGGATAAATATTTAAAGCCTCATAACTAAGGCAATACTTTAGTTAGACTTACTTAAATTAAATTTAAATTATTAAATTATGAGGAAAGATCCACCCAGGTCACTTTAGGGCACCATTTCTCAAATCAGGTATCCTACCCTACACTTCAGCAGTTACATGTGCTATAACATAAAGGCTTCAGGGCCCTCTGCTAA